GTTCAAGGAACCGCATTATTTCTAGGTATGCAAATATAAATCATTAGGTTTTATTCTTACTTTTTTTGCCGATGTTGCAGTGTCAGATTCTTGACGCATCCTCTTCGTGGTTACTTGACCCGACGACGTAGCAAACTCGTCCTAAAAGTTATATCGAAATTAGTTAGGACCTATAGTTCCTTCTATACTATTGGTTGTTCCGTTCATCACCTTGTTATTATTGTTTGCAATTGAATTATATTCCTTCGCTCGTTTTTTATCGGGCCGATTGCCCTAAAATAATAAATTAGGGGATTAGTAGTAGTAGTAGTATCCTTAACTGACATGTTTTCATTCCATCTAACTTTTATTACTATTTAACTTTCATTTTGCCATCAAGCAAGCACGAAGGTCATCTGTGGCAAAGACTTTTAAACATCAAGCAAGCACGAAGGTTCCTATCACGCCACTTACTCTTTCGCGCAAAAAAACTTTAATACTTGCCTGTCTGTATAGTTTTTGAAGTTCTAGTGCTCTTCTACGCCTTTGACCAGTCTCAGTACTAGTTATTAACTCGAGAGATAATAAGTAGCATTCTATTTTTTGGTTATAAGATTCCATACTGGTACATTCATCGAGGAATCCAATAATATCCCAATCGGATGCTTCTCGTTCGAAATATTTGTGGATCTATTTGGAATAAACAAAAGGTAAAGGCCAGGATCGCAAAAAAAAGTTTATTTGCATTAATCTTCATACCGTTTTAGAAGACATGAGTGTAAAGTTTTTAGTAAGAGATGTTGATGGTGGGTTGTCGCACTATATATATTTCACAAAGAAATGAACGCGTTTGGGATACGCGTTGCTCCTTGACTTATTTGATAAATGCAAATATCACGTGTTACTCAACATGAAAATCGATTCTAGAATAATCTCTTGAAATTTGATTGGCTCTACAACGTCTGCGGCAGTGAAAGGACTGCTGGGACCAGCACTTTTGTCCGCTATATCGACAGTCCGTTACATCGAACAGTGAAACTCCGTTATAACGACGGCCTTTAATATTAACATCTTTTCTTATTCACGGTTATGACATGTGTGTGACATAATACCTAACGATAAATTCAATTAAGACTCGAATGTAAAATCGTCAATATTTGTCTGCCTTCTTTGTTCAATGCGTTTCATAACAATTTCCTTTCTTAATCTTCCCAAATTCAAAGCAAAACTCGCATCGGCATCTAAGTCGTTCACATATTCTTTTTTCTGTAATGCTGTTAAGGTACGCGAGTTCGTTTGTTTACATCACTTTGCTGAGAAGCATTTTTTCGTTTATTATTTAAATTGATAGGATCATAAGTCGACATTATGTTAAGTTTGTAATTTGTTAGATACGTGTAGCAGAAAATGGGGAAAGAATCTTATTCTTATATTTATTTGTGTATAACGGACTCCGCTATAGCGGACTTCAGTATGGATATGACTTCGTTACACAAAATCCGGTTTACCGACTACTGCGGGAGAGCAGCAAGTAATCGACACTTGGGATTTAACTAGTCTCGACGGAGCGTGGCGCCTCCTATTCAAGTTAAATATCTAATTGTTC